ATCTTACCATCTGCTTGTCTCGCAGCCATATACCAAAACTGAAAGAACCAAGATATTGAACAACGGGAAAGTTAAGGAGTAGATTCCATAAGTTTGAGAAGTTCAAATTGACAGGTGGATTAGACGAGTTATGGAACTATGATAAAACTAGGAATTTGGTAAAAATAGAAACTATGAAAGGGCTTTATGATAAAAAATATTGTTAATATAATGTTAACACTTAACAGAAATGTTTTTTTTTTAAATATGATAAAAGTAAACAAAATTTGAAAATGGGAATTAAGTTCTTAAAGGATGCTGATGGCAAAGATTTTGTTGAAGACAATAAGGTGTCTAAGCTTTTAAGTGTTCTCTACTGTTTCTACAAGAGAAAATATCTACAGTATTCCTGAATCATTTAGGTATTATTCTTTTAATTATAAATAGGAAGACAAAAAATAAAGTACCAGGACCAGACAAGGTTTTCCCCGGGGTTTGGAAGGAAGTCCAAGATCAGATATTCAAGCCTTTCTTATTGTTGGTAGATCAATAGATAATGGGAAGGATTGTCTGAGGATTGTAGACTTGCTAATGTTACTGTAAAAAAAAAGTTTGTTGGTGTTGCCCTGGAAATTATAGACAAGTTGATATTTTTTCTGTAGTGGAAAAACTTCTGAGGAATCTGATAAAAGAGGCTTTTGAAAATTATTTAGTGAAATATCTCAAAAGAAAACCAACAAGGATTCACGAAAGGGAAATTTTGCCTTATTAATTAGTTTTTATTATTTCGAAGATCTTACTTGTTATCTGAATGATGGAAATGGTGAGAAGAACTTGGTATACTTGGATTCTCAAAAACATTTTGATAAAATCAGGGTTTGCAATAGTACTGGCGGTACCAGTACCGGTACTGGAGCAGTTAGAAATTCAACTATTCTTCCCACTGTGTTCTCATAGGAAAATTTTGTCCCACATCAAACCAAATTGTTAATTATCAGTAAGCCCACGTGGTATGATGATAATGGAAATGAATCAGTTGAAATCTAGGCTTTCTATTGATTATCAATTTAATAGAAGTTGGCCTGAGAAAAATCTATTAACAAATTGTAAATTAGAGCATGTCAGAGGTAGGTGTGGAAAGTAGTTTCTGAATTTTCATTGACTGCTCTTTAGGCCCATAAGATTGAAGAATATAAAAATATAGCTTCAGAATATCGATGACAAAATCATAGAGAATATTCTACGTTACATTTCGTAATTTTCTAGAGGGTGGACAAAAAATTCCAGGAGAGGAGATAGCTCAAGAACAAATATTCAAATTCTCACAGTAGGGGAAATTTGAGGTTGTTTTTAAATATTTCCTTACACAATTAAAACTTGTATAATATTAATATTTGATTTATTATCTATGGTTTGATTTCAAGTTTGTTCGTATACCATGATATTTAAGTAGTTAAATTAAATTTTGAATGTAACTCACTAAAACGTCGTGACATGAGGTTTGACCCGTTTGCATGCTAAGGGTTAATCACACACGCACCTACCTTACGTGCAATCAGTCATGTAGGCACATTCAAATTCTCTTCAAGAGCGTGAGACTCGCCAGTTTCCCATATTTCATGCCGTTACCAATTTTTA